GCTGTGGCTACAATGTAGCTGCCATCACCAGTGTGTGAATGTGTGTGTGAATGGGTGAATGACTGAAGCGCTTTGGGGTCCTTAGGGACTAGAAAAGCGCTATATAAATGCAGGCCATTTACCATGTAACCTGTCACTGGCTGCCCACCATAAAGAATCATAGGGAGTCATTAAACTTAACCACAGTACTGCAAATTCACCATTTCAACAGTTTTAGATGCTCACTGCTGATATTTATGTCAACTTTGAAACCTCTGGTGAAAGACGTCCTGAACCTCACTGACTCTTTTAGTCGTGTTCAGTCGGCGCTCCCTCCCGTGAGCGTTCAGGCTCATCTCGTGCTCTGTAATTATGTGATATTCTAATTTGCAGTTTAAACTTTTCTGATCACATGTCTGTCGTAATTCAAATTTCCGCGCCATGTCCACCAGTTAAACTTCTTTTATGTGTGCGTGACCCCTGCATCATCCCTGCTGGACATTCCTCTGCTGTTTATCAGAATATTGGGCCCCTCCCTTGGACAATCGCTCCCTTAAGCCGTGAGCTCATCATCTGCTCACTTTGTTCAAATGCTCTTGAGTTTTGCTTCTTGTAAAACCAACTGTGTTAAACCTAAAACGTATCCCTGGACTCAGGCTCTCAGAAGGATTTGTAGAAAAGCAGAAAGTCTTGAATGTATTCTCATTTCAGCCTGGTTTCCAAATGTTACATAGAACTGAAACTGTGCTTTTAAAAGTTTGTAATGATCTTTTATTAGTTGCTGACAGACCTGAGCTCGCTCTGCATTGTGGTATTCTAGTGTTTACACTGGACAGCTGTGCGGGTAATAAAGGAGCTGCCCTTGAATAGTTTAGATCCAATATAACCGACAGCAGTTTTGTGGCTGCTCCTCTGACATCCTGTTTTTATTAAATTACTTGTGTCTCATTCATCTTTCAGTTCAGGCCGCCACCGTTTACAGTTACAACGTCCCTTCTTTCAGAGGGAAGCTGTTTCTCACAAACACACACTGCTTTTACATGTTTTCTTCTGTGCTTAGACAAGAAAGACTTCTACTTTCATTCATATTGTTTTACGTTTATAGTTTCGTCAAAATTCCCGTGCAAGAACTGCCTCCTCCACTCAGAGAGGATAAAAGCAAACAGGTTTTAATTTTGCATTTGCTTTGACAAGATATCCACCTTTGTTTTCTGGAAATATATTCGACCAAAATGCCCCAATGCCGTCAACATGTTGACGTTACATTAAGTGCTCAGTACTCCCTGTGACCAGCTGTAGATCTACAGCAAGATCCTCATATCGTCCTCATCATACAGGTGGTGACAAGTACTTGCACTGCTGTACAAGACACAATGTGACAGATGTACACATATCACCCCTCCCAAAGTTAACAAGGTCTCATTTGTGGTAGTTTCCTCCACAGTATCTCCTTTACAACATTTAAACATAATGATAGACAAGATAGCGTGCATGTTACCGTGTATATGACAAGAAGAAAGCTACGACTGTGTCTGGCTAAGAAAGAGCTTTGTCTAAGGAATTCTTGGCCCTGGAGTTCAACCAGGAAACTGTTCCCAAAATTTTTAACCATGATGACAAACATTCGTCAACCGAATAACTTTTTACTCAAAGATGCGTTCGCTGGATTCACACCGTTTCAAACAGCTCAGAGAATGGTTAGGACAGTCATCACAGTATTGAAGGACTTCCTAAAATATGAAAAATGACAACTGACACATATTTCTTTTTCTATTTAACAGGTAAAGGAGGCAGTAAAAACACATTACTGGACAGTGAGGTTGTCCTGACAAAAATGAAGCTTTTTATTGACCAGGACAACTCACACCCCGAGCTGAATTCTCAGCTTGATGAAAAGCCTGGGCAGCCTCAGATCAAGCCTGGCTCCAAATATCCATCTGCCATTTTGTCAGATACTCATCTCTCAAACTTGTTCAAGTGTGAATCAGAGGACTCTGGAGTGGAGCTTCCCAGCGGAGCTCATTCACCATCCACCCCAACAGGATCTGAGCAGAGCTTTGTGGTGCACAGTCGAGAGTCTTCCTGTGACTCCTCCAACTTAAACTCTGAGCCCACCGTCCTCTCTGACAGACTTGTTGCAGATACAAACAGCACTGAGAAAAACCAGGCAAATGACTCAGCGGATAACAGTTTAAATACAACAGTGGATACACAGGATGGTTTGTTAATTCATTCAAATACACTTATTTCTTCGGCTATAACAGTAGAGTTGCACATAGGTGAGGATGTGAACCACTGCAGGGTTTCAGGTCCTGAACAAAGTGAGGATGCTGAAGAGTCCAGGGCTGTGACAGGAAGGACCGGCTCAGAGGATACGAGGCTTGTAGAGCAATCCTTAATACAAAGCTGTGACGACATGACAAGCAAAGTCTTTGCACCCGAGCCTATTAAAAGGAGTATCACCAGTGACAGCCTGGATGAGTACATGGATGAATGCTGCAGATTAAGTAAGGTAAGAAAAAAGCAGCACTGAACATCAGCTGATCCGTCCTCACACTTTACAAGGATGCAAACTGAGCAGACTAATGTAGCCCCGATGTTTCTCGATGAAAGCAACCTTTATATGTGACATACACAATCATGCAGAGTAGTGAAATGCTTGTGTCCGAGCTGCAGATGCAACCGTGCCATTCCAGGGCTTGGTTTTTTTGTTAGCATGGGGGGTCTAGCCAGGACCCTTACTGGATGGGAATTGAACTTGCGACTCCCACTCCAAAGGTGTGACTATCCAGCTGCCAGGACTGGATAGCCCTGGCAGCTGGATAGTGAGATGCCAGATGAGCTGGCATGTCAGAATTTCCTAAATCTCCAGTAGAGATGTGCGGATCGATCCAAATATCGATAGTATCGATACCAACACTAGTATTGGTATCGGATCGATACATTGCTTTTATCCTTCAGTGTGTAGCCCGCTGAACTGTGTTAATTACGTCTTTGGGAAAAATAAACCTCCAACATGCACTATGAAAAATGTCCAAAGCTTTTTGTGTGCTGAAAGACACAAAAACATTCCAGGTCTCCAAAAACCCAGTTTCTGTTTAAAATGTTTCACAATTTGCTAGTTGAGAAGTCGTCTCATTAATCGTGGCACACTACTCTCCCCCATTTCTCTCCCCCACTGCCTGAGTCACATCGACAGTACTGGCCCTGTATTTACTTGGTACTGGATCGATACCAAAATGTGTAGTGTGGCACAGCACCAGAGATGGGCAGTACTTGTACTTACTTGTAACGCGTTACTGTAATCCGATTACTTTTTTCAAGTAACAAGTAAAGTAAGGGATTACTATTGCAAAAACGGTAATTAGATTACTGTTACTTTCCTGTAGTAACGCTGCGTTACTGCGTTACTAAAACCGTGATTTTTCTGCGAGAACGTCTCATGACAGTGACGTAAGCGAGCGCGACGTTCGTGACAACAGCTGTGTGCAGATCAACAGTGGATCACATATCGAGTGCAGAGAGAGTATGAGCGTGCAGCGTTTAAAGCGTGGAAGTACTGACCTTACTTTGAGTTTGATTCCATAAAAAGTGACAAAAACATTAGTGTCCGCTGTGCGTGGGAAGAAAACTTCTTTTTACAGCGAAAAAACCCCTAAACTTCCAACAAGCACCGAGTAGCTACGACGTAATGGGAAACTCACAGAGAAACTCACGGATTCTTCCACTGACCGCGGCACACCTGCACCAGGGTAAACCTCCGCCTACCCCACTCCTGCTTTACAGGTGAAAATAGAGCAACAGGACCACTGAGTCTTTGACTTTATTTATTTTCTGCTGTGTTTTACTTGCATCTATTTGAAAGACTGAGTGTAAACACACAAATATTTTATTTTATGAGCTGGAATGTGCAGAAAATAGGTTTAAATGTTAAACTAATTTATTCCAGTCAGAGAAAGTTGCAGATAATTAAATGTTTGCTTGATGCATAAAGTTAAAAGATTAAAACTAATAAAACAAGTTTTAAAAAGAGACTTTTCCATTTGATTACATTTTGTATGATGGATTATGTAGAAAAAGTAGAATTGGGCTGAAAGATCTATCGCTTTATCACCTCTTCAGGTTGTAAATCGTGTTTTTAAAAAGTAACTAAGTAATTAATTACTTTTGAAAATAAGTAATCAGTAAAGTAACGGGATTACTTTTTTGGGGAAGTAATCAGTAATTAGTTACTGATTTCTTTTTTCAAGTAACTTGACCAACACTGCACAGCACTGCTGTGAACGAGGGAAAGTGTGAATGTTGAAGGTTTTTGTTGAAGCGTCCAGGTAAGTATCTACATGTTAAATGACAACATATGTGTGTTCAAATAGCATCGACACACAGCTTCAGGTTCTTTATTTCTATATGATAATTCTTCATAATTAAACAATAAGAACAAGCAGTCTGATGTCCTGCAATCATTACGAAGCTATAATCTGAAATACAATAACACATTAAGTTTTTGCACAAAGTATCGGTATCGGATCAGTGTCATCGATACCACCCTGAATTTTACTCGGTAACGGATCAGAAAGGAGATCAGTGGTATGGCACATCACTAATCTTCAGGCATAACACATACAGTACTGCCCAAAGATTTTACAGTGTAATGTCTTATTGAACCCGAGTCACTGAAAAGCTACAGTTAGAGCATCAGTTCATACAGTATCCAATCAAGCATTCTGCTAAAGACTATGTTTCAGTTTAGTTCTGTTATGCTTTTAGTGTTTAATATATTTATTATTTTCCACAATGAAATACAAAAATACAAAGCATCAAATAAAAGTAAAAGAGGGGAAAAAATAAAAATAAAAACCCACCCTAACAAACAACACCCCTGTTCGCTGTCAAGTAATCAAAAGTTTAAAAGGAAAAACATACAATGCAAAATAACACCAGCCAAGGTATACAGAATAAGAAGAAAGAAAAAATAAGCAAACAAATATAATTAAAAATAGATAAATAAATAAATAAATAAATAAATAAATAAATAAAGGTCATTCCTGAACCTGTGTTGGTCAAAACACAGGTTTGTCAAAAAATATCAAAAAGGGTTTCCAGACTTTGTTAAATTTATTTACAGAGCCTCTCTAAACGAACCTAATTTTCTCTCATTTAAGATGAAATAATACATCCTTAACCCAATGAGATACTGTGGGCAGGGCTGCGTCCTTCCACTTCAAGTATTAGACGTCTTGCCAATAGTGTAGAGAAGACAATAATTCTTTGACCACCTGCTGGTAGTGCCAGACCATCGGAGTTGACCCCAAATAAAAATAAAAGTGGATTGAGTAACAATCTTATCCCAAATATGCATGACAAAGCCCCACAGACATCCGTCCAGAATGTTTGTATTTTGGGACAGGACCAAAACACATGGATCAAGGTCGCCTCTGCCAATTTACATCTTTCGCACGTTGGGTCAATCTGGGGATACATCTTTGCCCATTTTGATTTGCTAAGATGAACCTGTGCACTATTTTAAACTGCAGAAGCCAATGTCTTGCACACATGGAGGACGAGTGAATATTACTTAAAACATTGCCCCAGTCTGCTTCAGCAACACAGATTCCAAGATCCTCTTCCCAGGATCGCTTGATTGCAGACATAGAACAAGAACCCAGGCGCAAAATCAGAACAAGTATTGATGATATGGCCTTTTTCTTAGCCGGGTTAAAACACATAATGTCATCCATTACATCATGAGGGGGTTTATTTGGGAACCCTGGGATAGAGCCTGAAAGAAAGTGTCGTATCTGTAGGTACCTAAAGAAATGAGAGGGGGGTAAGTTGTATTTATTAGTCAGCTGTTCAAATGAGGTGAACGTGCCATCAATGAATAGTTCTTTTAAAGATCTCAGCCCTCGCCTCTGCCAGCCCTGAAATGTGGCATCAGACATTGAAGGAGAAAAAACATAGTTGGAAGCTGCTGGGCTGCCTAAGCACATCTTCAGAAGATCAAAATGTAAACTAAACTGAAAGCAAATCTGGATAATATTATTAACTACAGGATTCTCAATTGACAGGCTTTTGGGTAACGGGATAGATGCACCTACCACAGACAAGAAAGAACCAGAAGAGAGCTTCTCCATTTCTACCCATACGGGTCCGCTGCAGTCGTGCTGAGCCAGTAGGTCAGACAGCGTAAACTGGAGGCCCAGTAATAATAACGGAAATTCGGTAGAGCCAGGCCTCCGTCTTGCTTTGACTTTTGCAGATGTGTTTTATGCAAACGTGGTTTCTTGTTGTTCCAAAGGTATGATGTAATTACAGAGTCCAATTTCTTAAAATAAGCATTCGGAATGTACATAGGGAGGCTTTGAAACAGATAAAGATATCTGGGTAATACAGACATTTTAACTACATTCACTCTCCCAACTGACGAGAGAGGAAGCGGCGACCATTTTGACAAGTCTTGTTGCATACTGAGGTGTAACTTAGTAACATTTTCTTTAAAGAGATCACTGAGGTTTTTCGTCACAGTTATGTCTAGATAGACAAAACTGTGCGTTGCAATCTTGAAGGGAACAGTAATGTTTGCTAATGTGGAAAGAGGCATATTTAGAGGCAGTAATTCACTCTTGTGTAGATTCAATTTATAGCCTGACACAAGCCCAAATGCATCAAAAAGTTGGTGGGAATTGTTACCTCAGCCTGACACAAACAGCAGGAGATCATCGGCATAGAGAGATAATTTATGCTCCGTTCCATATCGCGAAATGCCTTCAATGGCACCATTACTTCTTATAGCTATTGCCAACGGCTCAATAGCTAACACGAAAAGGAGGGGGCTGAGGGGGCAGCCCTGACGGGTTCCATGATGCAAGTGGAATGGTTTAGAATAATGGTTATTAATGAGTACCATAGCTGAAGGACAGGCACAGAGTAATTTCACCCAGGACAAAAAGGAACTTCCAAACCCAAATCTTTGTAAGGTCTCAAATAGATATTCCCATTCTACTCTATGGAAAGCCTTCTCCACATCCATGGAGAGAAGGCTTTCAGCTTGACTGGGGGTGTACATTATATTGAGTAGTCTACGAATACTAAAAAAGGAGTTTTTAATAAAACCAGTCTGATCTGAAGAGTTTATGTTGGGTAAAACTTTTCCAATCAGTTGGCCAAAACCTTCGCTAGTATTTTGTAGTCTGAATTGAGGAGTGAAATCGGCCTGTAGGATCCACATTCCAAAGGGTTTTTGTCTTTTTTGGGAAGTAATGTTATACAAGCTTGATTTAGGCTATCAGGCAAAACACCTTTGGCAAGAGAGTCAGTATATAATGTAGCTAACACGGGGGCTAGTTTTCCAGCAAAGGCGGCATAAAACTCGTTCGGTAAGCCATCAGGGCCTGGTGATCGGCGAGACTGTAACGGTTTTATTGCCGCTATGATCTCCTGTTCTGTTTTTAGTTAAATTGCTGTTACAAACAGAATTCCCTACAGCCAGCAGTGATGACACGTGCTGGATGT